TGATCCTGATGGTCCTGTTCTGTTTCGCAGGAAGCCACCAGCCCCTTGGAATATCCCCAGGAACTAACAGTGAAGCAGGCAGGTCAGAAAATCATAGAAGCTCCCTCTGTACACTCAAAACTAACTTAGTGACCACTCTCCTTCATGGGAAGAGTGGCAAAGCCGCCTCCTATGCCCACACTGTGACCACAAGGTGGGCACTAGCACTCACATCAAAACCTATGGCTGTCCTATGGTAAGATGCCTCCACCACCACCTGCACAGATCTCAGTGGGTGGCTCCATTGTACAGACAGCAGAGCCTGGGAGACTGGCATGGCTGAGGTCATATAGGCCTGATGGACTGGGCATTCAGACCCAGAGTCAACTGATATGACCCAGTCCAGCCAGCCTGGTATTCTGAGGTGCGACTGTTGTCTGCTTTCAAACTAGGAGTCAGGTGCACCCAGCAGTCTCCCAGCCAGCCTCGTGCTGCCCAAAAGCCCAGGGCTAGGTTGTGGGCCTGTTCTGTCTCCCAGCTTCTGGGTGGCTTTAGGGCTAAGACTGGCAGAAACAGAAAAGGGGCTCAGGACCACAGGAAAGATGACAAAAGTTGTTCCAACCATTGGTTAACTGTCCAATCATCATCCACTGTGGCCTCTGTTTCTCCTGCGCAGTCCTTCCCTACCTTCTGGGGATGATGAAAGGCAGTGTGCACCCTGGAGAGCTCCCCAGCCTCTCCCTCTTTCATTACCGTATTTTCATGTGCAATACAGCAAGGGTGGTTCCAGGTCAGGGTTTCACTTGTGTGGCAGGCATTTACAAGCGGTTGTGGGAACAAAGGAATGAGATCTCAGGCCTGAATTAGAAGGAAAAGGGGACCTTGATGGAGCTCCTTGGAAGAGGGACTATGTATGTATTTAGACCTAGTGAGAAAGGAGGTGGAAGAAATTCCAAACTTGAGTGCCAGCTCGCGGTGAGTGCTCAGTGTGAAGCAGAGAAGCAGCATGGGCCAGCACAGACGTAATTATGGCAACTGTCCTGTAACAGTACAAAAAGGCTAAGATAATGAACATTAAGGAAGAGTTTGCCTTGAAGGAGACTAACTGCAATGTGTTAACTGAATTGGACCCGCTTGCTATGAAGAGACAAATTGTAAAATTTAAAAGCTGGGCGTGAGGGCGCACACTTGTATTCTCAGTACCCAGAGCAGGCAGGATCGTGAGTTTGAAGTCAGTTTGGACTACATAGTAACTTCCAGGCCAGCTGGGCTAGAGAGGGACCCTGTCTCAAAACAACAAATATAAAAAATGAAATGGTTCTCTGAGGTGGTGATGGAAATACGGGAGTTCTTTGTGCATCTTCTACTACCTTTCTGTGAGCTTAAAACAGTATAAGGATGGAAAAAAATGCTACTGCATTTGCAAAAATGGTGTAAAAACTATAAAACCATCTTGAATTGCAAGTTAGGGTCTAAGTAGGAAGATAAGCCTTTTATATAAAGTAACAGATTGGTGAAAATGCTTACTTTTGTTCTTAGTTTCCTTGAAATTGCAGACAATGTAGGTCTCCAGTGCTATCAAACAAATCTAATTAACCAAAAAGAAATTTTGGGAAAAAAACTTACTGAAATACTAAAATGCTAAAAACTTAATCACTCAATAAACAAGTACCCTGCTGTTCTCTAAAGCGCTGTTCTACCACCAAATACTCATTCTCATCAATTTTTCAGTCAATTTTGGGGTGGTATCTAAAATGTTCTAACCTGCCTTGCAGGCACATAGCTTCCATACTTATGCAAACGCCTCAAAGGCAGTTCTGAGACTTATTTTGAACTTTGCTATGGAGTTGGAGAATGTCAAAGTTTGCTTCAGACTTAAGGTGCAATTCAATTGGGAGGACACATTTAAGTGTGGAAGGTCTTGACAGGAAGAAGGTTGTGATGGTTAATTCTGTGTCAACTTGACAAGGCTAGTCAAGTTGACAGTTGACAGTGTCATCTCTGGGTGTGTCTGAGGGTATAAGTTTGGAATCTGAATCCAGACTGAGTAGAGATGACTGCTCTCACCAATGTGGGAGGGCATCACCCAATCTCAGTACCCAACAAAAAAAGGCAGAGAAACGGCCAGTTTGCTTTCTCAAGCTGGACATCCAATTTCCCCGGCCTCAAACACTGGGTACTCATTCCCAGGTTTTACACACCAGTGTGCTCACCACCCAAGTCTTCTCAGGTCTTTTGCCTTGGACTCAAATCACACCAATAATTTTTCTTGGTTCTCCGGCTTGCAAGCAGTATAATGTGGGACTTCAGGGCTCACAATCAGGGGCCTATTCCTTATTGAATCCCACACCCACCTCTCTGCAAATCTATTGGGTGTTTTTCTGGAGAACCCTGACTTACACAAATCCTACTCTAGAGATTTGGAGCCTCCAACTCTTTACATCATGGCAAACATAATCTAGCCAGCTTTCTATATCCATGATTCCACATTCATAGACTCATCCAACTGAAGATCAAAAGTATTCTGAAAAGAAATTCCATCTGTACTAAACATGTAGACTTTTTGTCATTTCCTAAAATAGAGTATTTAACAGCGATTTAGAACATTTACATTGTATTAGGTATTATAAACAACTGAGAAGACTTGAAGCCTATGGGAGGATGGGCACAAGTTCTATGCAAGGATGACATTTTATACAAGGGGCTTGAGCACCCACAGATCTTGGTACCTTGGGGAGTGGGGAAGTCCTGAAACCAACCCCCCATGGAGACTGCTATACAACACACTGAGGAGCGTAGATAAGGCTACCTCAGGTTAGGGTCTGAGAAGCTACATCCCCTGGCTGCCCTGAAGCCCACCTCCTGGGGTGAGAACACTATTTCTATATACCTCTACCCATTGCAAGCCCAAGTTGGGAAGCTCTAGAAGATAAAATGAAGGGCTGTATTAAAGACAAACAGAATGGAAAATTAAGTTTGAATGAAACATAAGGTAGAACTCTGGGGTGACTGCTTTCTCATTTGTGCTCCCAAAGACAAGATAGGTCATACCTACTGAAGTACCCACTACTCTTAAAATGGCCTCACAGTATTCCTCTGCTCACTGGCAGAGACTACACCACACATGGAACAAATGTCACCATTGTTTCTTTGGATTTCTCAGCTCCTGCTCCATGGTGAAAACCCTACTTGAGACTTGCAAATCTAACTACACCTTAATAGAAAAGGCTCTTGCCAATCAATCTGTCGTTCTTTATGACTCTCCTTGCAGTTCCCCAAGCATGAGAAGAGTAAAGGACAATGGACAGGGGAGGACAACTGCGAGGATGTGTACTCAAACCTTAAAGCTGGGGAACCCACCAGAATGGATGTGGCCAGGAACAGAAACTGCTTGCTTTAAGACAAGTATTGGGAACAATGGGAATTCTATTGCAATCTCTGATAACTCTCATGAACCATGACTTTCATCCCACTGAGTATCCATCCCATCTGTTACTGTGCTGATTGAAAAAAATAACAACAACAAAAAACCCAAAGAGACCCAACAAAATAGATCTAGTCCCTGGCCTCCTACCAATTTTATATTCACCAATTACTGAAGAAAATAGAAATTCGGGGACAGAGGCATTGTCAACTTTCAATCTAAGATTCTGTGTGAGAGTAATCATTTTTTAAAAAAATGAGAAATGCAATGCTGGATGTATTGAAAATATTTTATAATCCATTCTCTAGAATCCTAGCCATCTAGGTACATGAAAAAATTATATGGTGGAACACCAGTATTTTTAAACAATGAAAAGAAATATTTGACTAGAAGATGATAGAAGAATTTTACAAATATAAATTCAGGCTTCCTCACATTTTCCACAGAGCAGCCAAACAATAAAAAACACTCAAGAAATAGAAGACAATATACCTCAAGTGTAAAGTTCCAAAGTGAAATAGCCAATTACATTAAGAGATTTACCAAAACTATGTGTAAATTAAACAATAATAGCAAAAGGCACAAAAGCCCATTCCATTTCTGGTATCTCAGCTGATTCTTTAAGCAGATAAATGAGATAATAAAAAGAATGGTCAAAACTTGGCCTGAGTTGTCTTCTGGTGATTATTAATCCTACCACCTGTAGTTTTGTTGCCCAAGGACACCAACTTCTGTTGTCCCTTTCCAGAGAAAAGAAATGGCTGCCAGATTTTTCCTCCCTGTTTCCAGTTTTCACTATGTTCTGAGCATTAAGGTAGCAGATAGAATGTCAATGCCACCCCCTTCCCAACTCATTGCTCTGCCTTGAAAGATGAATGTATTTATGAATCCTCATTTTATTCTCCTGAGACATTATGCACGATCCATTATAAAACATACAGGTAATACAAAGTTCAAACACCTATCATGTTTATGGAAAAAACACATGAGAGTTAAACATGGTACATTGTGAAGGAAAATCATGGTTTCATTTATTTTTGTAAGAGACAAGTTACGAGTGCATTACGAATAAGCTTGAGTCATCAATAAACTGTGCTGAGGATATTCCAAGAGTACACGGGGAAATCTGTGCAAATTCATCTTACTCAGTATCAGATGGTAGGAAAAAATATTATTTTTTAAAATAGCCTTGCCTATATTCAAGAAAATAGATTTGATAAACTGAACAAGTATGTATCTATCCCCTTTTTATGATCAAATAAAAATGCCAATGAAGATTGCAAAGAAAAAACTGAGATGAAAAAATCCAAGTAAAAGCCAACACTGCTATTAGGATTTTTCTTTTAATATGCCATGAGATATTGTGACTGTATATTTTCCAAAGTACTTTTCAAGCCACATCTCCCAACCCTTCCAAAAGCTCCTGCCCATCTTTCAATGCAATAAAGATGCAGGGTTGTACTTCTGTCCACCTCCTCTCTTTGAAAGCAACGTAATACTAATGACTTTAATGGGAATACATTCTTATCTAATAAAGAAAAACATATACAAGTATCAGAAATCCAGCTTTGAAACATTTGTGTTAATTTGGACCTGAATCAGCATTTTGTGTTTTTTTTTTTTTCCCCTTTAAAAAGGCAGCAGTTTGACTCACGACTTGCTGATAAACACATTTCTGCTGAGGACAGGCAGAGAAGGAGGGAGAGTGAATGCTGCATTTCTCCATTGGCCCCAAAAGTGCTAACTTCACAAAGGGATACATCAAAAGCAAACATGCAATGGTTGTTTTAAATCTTTTACTGCAATATAACAATGAAGTAAACAGTAATTAAGACACCTACCAATTTCCCCCAGAACAAACAAAAAATGTAAACAGGAAAATAACTCTGCCTATACTTGTACAGCTTCTGAAATCATGTTAGAAGGGTCTCACATTCAATAATCAAATTTTAAAATAGCAGTAATTATTTTCATTTTAAGAAAAAAATTCCCTTTCTACCCTCCCCCACCCTAAGTATTTAACATGAAGAATGGGATTCCTTACATATTTTATACTTATGTGAAGCAGCAACAATAACCATCAATAATTTGGCATTTATGTTTACAGTTGCTCCAATTTTTTCTTCAATTTCAAAAATCCATTATCCAGTGTTGCCACGAAACAGAGACTGTAAATTCTAGGTAGCAAAGATTTTTTTGAAATCAATATTAAGTCAAAGAAATATAAAGCAGGGCATTACACTAAATTTCTGGATCTAGTACACTAAAGAGTGAAACCTAGGAAAAGTTACCTAATGTTTAGAAGAAATGAAGACCTGCAAAAGCTGATTTTTGGTTGTATAATATTTTTACACACTGTGGATTTGCGGCATCTGCTAATTGAAGCAGACATGCACTGTATTTATCCCTGACCTATGTCCTAGCCCTCCCTTCCCACCCCCAACAACCTACTACCATACACCAAGTATTGTGGATATGAGCCCAAGTCATCCCAGACAATCCAGTGAACAAAGTTAGTGTAATGCACTGGTGTGAAGTGTGACATACAAAAAAGTCCCTTTCAATCTTCATCAAAGTTCTGCTGTAGAAGAAAATTGGCAGCCAAATTCTCATTCTTCTCACACGCAAAATATGCTTGTATCACAAGTCCTTCCGGAAATCCTAATGCCTTTAACTGAAAGAAAGAAGAAAGAAAGTAAATTCAACCCATCAATCATGGCACATTTTACTTTCCAGCATAGCCCTACTGAAAGATCCTCACATGAAACATACAACACCACAAAAAGTACTCAAGAGAATTTTTTTTTTTGGGAGGGGGGGCAGGGTGTGGTACTGGGGCTTGAACTCAGGGCCTCTTGCTTGCTAGGCTGACCCTCTAGCATTTGAGCCACTCCACCAGCCCTTTTTGTGTTAGGTTTTTTGAGATAGGGTCTCATAAACTATTTGCCTCGGTCTGACTTTGAGCCATTATCCTCCTGATCTCTGCCTTCTAAGTAGCTAGGATTACAGGTATGAGCCTCAGGTACTTCTCTTCTTGAGAATTTTATATGAATTCAGCCCAATCAGAATTTGGGTTCATTGCCCAATGCAAAAGAGTAGACAGAACCTTTAACATCCACCTAAAACAATCTTTGTTCTTACTTAATGCTGTTAAGACTAATGGGTACTCTGCAAGCATTCTTTCTACCATCAACACTAAAATAGGTAAATCAAATGACTTTTAGGCGAGTAAGGGTGGAGACAAGGATTAAGAGCAGCTGGAAAGAGTTTAACTTCTGCCACAGAACTATTTGTAAAAGTATATTTTATTTATTAAAGTGACTCACATCTTTCATTTGGATCAAACATTACCCTTAAACTTACTTAACACTTCAATATTAGAAAAACAGGTGATCAATTATCAGGACATATGGTGGCTATTTTTACATGCTAAATATTTATATCATATTTTAAATGTGGATACAAACTACTTAATCTCACTTTCCCACTCAAAAAAAAAATCACCTGATTCAATACTTTCTGCTTTGAAAAGCCTTAAAACACTCAAATCAATTACCTCATTCATTCACCATGTACTATCATTTGTCAGTGAAAATGCTACTGATGAACACCCTCAACAGTCTCAGTCATCTAGTGTTAGACTTTACTTAAAAGTGATTTTTAAGAACTGACAAACTCAATTCAGCACAAGTAACTTTATCCATGGAAGGAGAAGAAACTCAAAATAAATTTTGCTATCTAAGTTTTGTCCAGATTAAAAACTAGAGTAGCTGAAGTAAAAGACAGATCAACTGACAAGGCACAATCCAACTACGTTTGTCCATAAGACATACTCTTTGGATTCAAAGACAAATACACTGAAAAGGATGGAGACATATATCAAGCAAATAATAGCCAGCTACCTTCAGTATACTTGGTATAGCTACACTATAGACAAAATAGATCTTTATGTCTTTTGTTAGAGACAAAGGACATTTTATGATTAAAAAAAGGGGGAAGAGGAAGACACAATTATAAACATGTAACAAGAGTCCCAAAATACACAAAGCCAAAAATAACAGCATTGAAGGGAGAATTTGACAACTGAACAATAATTGGAGACTTCGATACCACCACTTTCAATAGTAAATACAATTAGACAAAGGACCAACAAGGAAATTAAAGACTCGATCAGCACTATAAGCCAACAGACCTAACAGATATTTGTAGAACATTTAATAAGAGCACACTATACATTCTTCTCAAAGACACATGGGATATATTTCAGAAAGACTTGTTAGGCCATAAAACACTACTCGGTAAGTTTAAAATAGCAGGAGATAAGAGAAATTCATAAACGTGGAAATTAATACAAACCTAAATACTAAAGGATTAAAGAAATCACAAGGAAAATGGGGGGAGGATGTTAGAATTAGAGAGAGAGAGAGAAGTTAAGAGATTCAAAACAAGAGAAATGCTTTCTTGCTTGTTTTGACTGATGAAGATGAAGATCAAAATGACTTCTATAGCTCCAAAGGACTGAACTTTGCAAACAATCTGAATGAACATGGAAGAAAATCGTAAGATCACAGCCCCAAGTAGACCCCTTGAATACAACCCTGAAACCTACAGAGGGCCCAGCTACACCTCACCTAAATGTTTAATTTACAGAAACTGTGAGATCATAAATCAGTGTTGTTTAAGTCACTATGTTTGTGGTAATACACTATGCAGCTATAGAAAAATACAGACTGAGGCTTGGCTCAAGCATTAGAGGACCTACTTTGCAAACATAAAAGCCCTGAGGTCAAACCCCAGTTCCAGCAACCTCCCACCCCCCCAAAAAAAACCCGACAGAAACACCGTTAAAGTAAAATAATACCTTCAAGGAAGAAAATGACAAGTGTTAAAGAAAACTAATATTCTCCCCATGAATATTAAAAGATAAAAAAAAAAAAAAGAGACCAAAAAAAAAAAAATAGAATCAATAAAACAAAGCACTTGGTTCTTTTCATAAAAACAAACAAAACTGACAACCTTTAGTTAAACAGACCAGGAGAAAAGGGAATATATTGACTCAAATTGCTAAAATAAGAAAAAAAATGGCAAGACATTACCACTTTGTATAGATATGAAAACAATGTGAAAGACTGAATTAGTAAGCACAGCACTTCCCAAAAAGAAAACCCAGGCTCAGATGGCTTTAATTTAAAGAATTAACACCAATCCTAAAAATTATTCCACACAGAAGAGGAGGAGTACCTCTCAACTTAGTCTGTGGGGCCAGTATTATCCTGAAAGCAAAATTAGACAAAGACACCACAAGGAAACTATAGACCAGTATACCTTATGAATAAAAATACAGAAATCTTCAACAAAATACTAATGGAACAAATCAAATAACATGTACAACAGACTATTTCATGACTAGTAGGATTTAATCTAGGAGAGGGGGAGAGACAGAGACAGAAGAAGAGGGAGGAGGTGGAGGGGAGAAAGAAGGGAAGATGCAGGAAGAAGGGGGAAGGAGAGGAAAGATGATGTCCATTTTAGAAATGAAAAATTATCTGTATTTGTAGATTATATGACCTATACACAACAAATCTTTACTAATGAGTTCACGAGGGGTTTAAGATAGAAGTTTATAAAATCTCTCAGCCTCTTTTACAAAAAGCTGTTCCTGAAACCAACAATCACTTGCATGTACAACCATCAACTCTTGAGTGTAACAGGAATTAAATTTAGGAACCAGAACTTAGCTAGATGAGTTCTGGTTGCTTTTAAAAATGCACAATTACATCATAAAAAAATGCTGGCTGCTATATGTGACAATTTTAAAAAGAAACTACTGCCTCCATACTATAAGGAAACAAGAATATCCTTTCTATAAATGTTACTCAGTATGAAAAACTTCACAATCTGATTTATCTTTACCAAAGGTAAAATGATTTGCTACTACATTTGCATGGAATATTTTGATCTCAGTAGTTCTTAGACACAAAATAAAACATCTAGGCGTGGGTGGCTCATGCCTTTAACTGTAGCTATTATATGGTAAGGTGAAATTTGAGGATCCTGGTTTAAGGGTAGCTCACGCATAAAGTTCACAAGACCCCATCTCAACCAAATGCTGTGTGCAGTGGCCCGTCATTCCAGCTACTGTGGGAAGCATAAATAGGCAAGACTGGGTAGGAGCGGAAAGTCTATCTCCAAAATAACCAGAGCAAAAAGGGCTGGAGGCACGGCTCAAGCGATAGAATGCCTGCCTAGCAAGCATAAGGCCTTGAGATCAAACTCCACTACTGCCAAAACCCCAAACAACCAAAACAAACCCCCCCTCCAAAAACCCGAAATAAAAACTACTTTATATGAACTTTCACCTATTTGGGTTTTCAAAATATTAATATAAATTGTATACAAGTGGCACAAGCCTATGGGCTAAAGAAAAAGAACCAAGGTTTACCAACTTTATCCTTTCTAATTTTATAACTTAGGTATTGATACCTCATTGATTTCCTGTGCCTAAGCATCCCACACACAACTCAACCTTCCATTTCAATGGTCTTCCATGCCATCTTTTGTTTGGCATTTCATTCTTTGACATATAAGATCAACTTCAATCATTTTTTCTTCCCAAGATTTCGTTATCATAATAAATTTTCTCATCTTTAACAAGTTGAACAGGTTTTTCCAGGTTTCATTCACAGAAACCATCTTTGGCTTCTTGAAGCTTTCAGATATGAAAAATATTAGAAGGTAAATGAGATACTTGCGTTTTCCAAACATTGTTAACTATTTTTTATTAGTGTTTTCTTTGTAAAACGTCGTTGCATGACTTGGATTGGAGTAAGCCATTCTTGAATTGTTTCTCTCTTCTTTGTATGCTTGCCAGTCTGCCCTATAAACATCTTCACCTATTTTTTTCTCTGAATCAGTATGTTCTCTCCATAGCTCTGCAATTTTTCTAATTAGTTCTGAATTTTTCACATATGTTTCTGAGGTTTAAAAATAGGTAGCTGGTCTTTAGAAAACTGAAGGCATGAAGTCAAAGGTTTCTTTGGATGAAAACCTTTTTAGAACAATAATAATTAAAAAAAACAACAACAAAAAAACCCACAACAACCATTTTGGAACATACACAAAACTAACAGATAGGTGAGGACAGCTGACTTCAACAAGCCAGCACACAGCGTGGCTCTAGACCTTACCAGGGCCCTCAGTGGGTCCCACACGCCCAAAGAAGTACGTTCCTGCTGACAAGGCAGTGGTCCGACCCCAATCTCATACAGCCTCCCTGAACAACAAAACAGCCCCAATAATGACAACGTAAACTTGTGTGTGAACTCCAGGATTTGCTACTGTTGCAATGAAAACTTTGAAAATAAAATTGAGAACAATTCTCAATAGCATCAAAAAGAATAAAAATGCCAAGGAATAAATTTTTAAAAAGTAGTGAAAAACTTTTACACTCAAACTTACACAGAACATCACTAAAAAAAAAGTATTTAAAAAATCCTAATAAATTTCATGTTCACAGCTTAAGACTTAAAGAGTAATATTATAACTGAGACAATGTATTACCATGTAACTCAGGATGGCTTCAAACTTGAGATCCTCCTGTCTCAGCCTCCTGAATACTAGGATACAGGCAAGGCAAACGTGACTAAGGAACTGAATTTTTAGTTTTACTTCAACTCACCCTTTCTATAGCTTCTTTTTCCTGAGGTGTTACTTGAATGTAGTTCATGTGTCCGCTTCCAGCTTCTGTTATTCCTCCACTGCCACCTCCACCTCCACCTCCTCCTTGACCACCAGCTTCTTGAACTGGTTCATTTAGCATCTGAATAAAATGCTCCTGATGTTGGCTAATTTGCTGTGGTGATTTGAAGGACAGAGGAAAACAATTAATGATATTAAGTGTCTTCAGGAAAACAGCAATTCTAAATACAAGTAAGAGAAAAGCCTATTAACTATGCCAGTGATTTCTTGCAATATTACTAAAGAAACTCAGTACTTCTGCAAGAGGTGAACACTGCAAATTCTTTCATAAATGTTCCACCAACAAAATCAGTATTTAAGAAAACCACTGTGGGGACTATAAATAGAAAAAGAATTTATTCTTTATATATGTATTTTACCTTCTACACTAGCAACCAGAATAGTATTGTACAAAACTCAAATACTCCCTGATCTGAGCAGAAAATAAACTCAGTTATGTCTTCTAAGAGGCAGTGCCCCACGCAAAATAAGCTTATGAAGAACAATTTACAAAGTTAAGCAACTTCTCTGTTAAACAGCTTCTCAGATTCTGTATATGTTAATATGTACTGTGGGTATGAAATGAGGAGATAAAATGTTTCCCAAACTTATTATATGACCATCTAAACTACTCCAATACTTTGTTCAGTACACCTACCTATTATGGATAGGTACAACCATATTCAAAGAGCTAATGAAGAAGGGGAGGGACATTTTCACAGTGTGAAATACTTTGGGCTGGGGAGATGGCTGACAGAGCACTTGCCTAGTTAGCATGCAGGAAAGCCCTGGTCTCTAAAACTGTAGGGGAGTGGGGAGCAATACATCCCAAACCCACTTTCCAAATTAACACAGATTAATTACCTGCAGTAATTGAGGATTTTCTCGACCTATCTGCTGTAGCAATGCTGGAAGCAGGGAAGGATTCTGTTGAATAATTTGCCTCATCTGTTGAAACTGAGGCTGATTCCGTAAAAATTCAAGAGGATGTCCTGAAATACATACAACATTTTTAAAGAAAAGCAGTAAAGGCACATAATAAAGGACTGGCTAAATCATACATTTAGACAGTAAACACAATGAAGTGAAAAATGATTTGAGTACTTAGATGTATTAAAATGAAATAAATGGTAGAATCTCCAAACTGCAACATATAAACCTTATACTGCACAAATTATTCCTGCTAGCGAAAGCACAAGAGTGCAAAGCCAAGCTTCCCTATAATTGTCCCAGGCATTATTACCATAAAATACTAAGAACTTGTGCCCTGCATGTGTTCTATCACAATAAAGGGTAAAAGTTATTCCCGGCTCAAGTGGCCGAACACAGGCCTAACAAACATAAGGTCCTGAGTTCAAACCCCAGTATCTCCCCACAAAAAGTTATTCTAGTTATTCCAAAGTTCCTATGAATATATACTAAAATGAACAAAAACAAAGAATGCAATCATTTTTGCAATACAGTGACGTATCAGTTAAGGACAGGGATACATTCTGAGAAATGAGTGGTTAGGAGAGAATGTCACTGTGTGAGCACCACAGTCTACTTATGCAAACTAAAATGACTATGACATCACCAGGCAATATAAACTATTAAGACCTCCACTGCTGATCAAAATGTTATTATGCGGCACATGACTATACAACGGAAAACCTTCAAAGAACATAGTATGAGCTTGAATTCCTTGAAATGCTAACCCAAAATAAGAGAAAGACATTTAGTACTTAAAAGTTAAGACAGCTGAATGCCAGTGGTTCATGCCTGTAATCCTAGCTACTTGGGAAGCTGAGATCGGGATAACAGTTTGAGGCCAGCCTGGGCACAAATAGTGTGAGACCCCATCTCCAAAATAACCAGAGCAAAATAGACTGGAGGCATGGCTCAAGCAGTAGAGCACTTACTGTGCAAGGATGGTGCAAAGCCCTGAGCTCAAGTCCGAGTCCTACTAAAAACAAAAAACAAACAAAAAAAACTAGGTCTGCAGAAGATCAGAGGTGGTTAATCAGTTTTTTGTTTTGTTTTCAAACTGGAGTTTAACCTCAAGGCCTCGTGCTTGATTGACAGGTGCTTTACCACTTGAGCCAATCTGCCAGCCCTGTCTCATGGAACTATTTGCCCAGGCTGGGTTCAAACCAAGGTCAGAAGTCCTTCTGGTCTTTGTCTCTTGAGTAGCTAAGATTATAGAGGTAAGTCACCAGCCCCGACTAGATCAGAGTTTTAAACTTATTTGCAATTAAAAAAAGACTTCTGGTTACTACCATTAAATTTCAGTCCTAATATATCTTTATATTATATATAAATAAATATATTATATTATTTTATATATTTATATATTATATTAATATAATATTTATATTTTATTATATTTATATTTATATATATTTATATTTATATATTATATTAATGTAATATTTATATAATATAAATTTATATAATATTTATATATTATATTATATCTAACTCTTTATAGTCTATGGTCCATATATAATCACAAGTAATGGTGCCAAAAAAAGGCATAAGCTTCAAAATTTGTGACTTTTTTGGGGTGCTGGTGCTTATTTGGTTATGCTACAAGAAATTAAAATGTGCATACAAAAAATGTTTTTGTGATTACTGATGGGTAATGAAAATTCTCAAACATCATATACTAAATTATCTGGGAAGACAACTGTTCAAAATCTTAGCACATGGGTATTAATTCTTCATGCTTAACAGTAGTTTTACAGATGCAGAGAATGAAACTCAGAGACTAAGTTACCTATTAAGTGATGAATGGGAAACACTTCAAATCCGAACAAGAGCTGTAGTCTCCTCTTTCTCCAATCATGCAGAACCCCAATAAACAAACTGTATTCTTAGAGAACATACACAAACCAGAGCTGACTGCCACAGTGAGAGCTAGCAAATGATTTGCATAGCTTCTTCAAAATTAACAGCTTAAATTCCTTTACCAATACACTTAAGCAAGAACGAAGGAGAACATAATGTAATTCCTGAGCCCACTACAGACTGCACGCTTTGCTTTGTTGTCAGACCTGTGACAATCAAAGCGTGGGTACTAACCAGTAAGGGGAATTCAAGCTCTGCTTTCCTCTTTAGTTTAGTTTCCTCTTTAGTTGAACCCTCTCAGGGTTTCACATCCTTGCTTTGTAGTAACTACTAACAGCATGCTGGTTTTGAAATTACACATACTTAGCACCACTTCTGAATGGCTTCAGAATGTAACACTAAATGCAAATTGGGAAGCATCTTTTCCTTAGAACCAACTCAACAGAGTATGCTCTGACAAAACAGCAGCACTGATGTTTAACAGAAGCAAGGATTCCTTTTATATCTACTTGGCAGAATTTCTTTAGGCACCTCAACATTAGCAAATAGATAACTCGTTTTAAGAGTTATATACATGCTCTGCGAATCAACCTTACTGTTAAAACATTTCAAATGAAACTATTTTAAACCACAAATTCAAGATCATTTCCTCCCCGATCCAAAAGATTGCACTTTACCTCCAGAACTTGCTGTTGTAGTTGCTGCTGTTGTAGTGGCTGCAGCTGCAGCCACTGCTGAAGACTGAGGAGCCCCGGTACTAGCTGCTTGGGGAGGCTCAACCACCGCCTGACTTTCTCTATCTCCAGGAATTCCCTACAACACAATTTCCAAGCTTTAAGACATCTCGTCATACAAAATTAGTTAAATATTATATACAGTAAACATTTTAAAGTCTACTTACTTAACATCCCTAGTTTCCAAAAGCTTAAGACAGATGCTTACTTCAATTAAAAGTAAAGGATTACTAAACTGCACAGATTCAAGTTAGAAGTGGCTCCGGTGCGGCACAGAACTCAATGTTGTAGAACAATGCAGTACTGTCCAATAGAATAAGATTTTCCACGATGATCACAATGCTCACTAGCCATGCTGCCCACTAAGATACCCACTAGCCACATCTAATTATTTAAATTAAAAAGAAAAATCTTATGTATCTTACTAAAAGTAAACCTAACCAAGATTTTTGCACATGTTACTCTAGTTCATTTTTGAACTTCAAAACTTTCACCAGGTATTGCTCAATAATTCAAGGGACTGCAATTTGTAACCCTAGCCTTAAAACCCTCCAAAGTATGACACTTATGAGAAAAAAATCATAGATACAGACTACTAGGTAATCACAGCGGCCACGCAGGAGGATTTCCTCTACTTATGCATAGCTCTGAAAAAGTGTCATCTAGAAAGTGCTGCATATGAGCAATTAATTTTTCACAATTGATAAAACAGGTAAAAAAGAAATATGAATAGCCTGTCTTTTAGTGATGCTTTCTCTACACTAAATGACTGCATTAAAACTTTCAGGAAACCCTATATGAGTTAGAGACATTAAAGCTACAACAATTATAGTCTATCAAATTCTTAGATTTTCAAAGGAGAAAGGTGAATAAGAGATGGTAAGTTCATCTACTGCCTAATGAGCCAGAAACCAAATTCATAAACACATATAAAGAATGGAGGATAATGAGCAGCAAGTCAATAGCGGCTGCATTAGAACACTGCAGATATTAGGAACAAGTGTTTGTCAGAGAGGTCATCAATCAAAGCCTTTAAATGAGGAGTCACTAACTGTTAACAAACTATACACAGACCAGGGTCCAGAACTTCCACCTAATCCTCAAACAGTTTTGTTAAACTAAAAAGCTAATCTACTTTTAATTCTCTCACATGGTATACAGTGTCTTTTTACCTAAGTGACCAACATTTCCTTCTATCCATTCTCCTTCATTTATATGTTAACTAGTACAGTGAAATGAAGCCTTTTTTTTTCACCCCATGACACAAACAGTAAATATATCAAAAACACTTTTATTTTAACTTTCTTGAACTCATCATTCATCTGTTTATGTATTTGCATCTGATATTATATAGCAGTTTTAAAACTCAGCAACTTTGGAAATGTTTCTTTTTTTAATTTTTAGTGTATATTAATTGCATGTGATTCTTTTTTTAACACCTAAAATTTCACGTACATTAGGTCAAAATATCTGATATTACTAAGTATATGCAAAATTCTAAATCACGTATAAATCAAACCCATTCCACAAAAGCAAAGTCCATACGTATATCTCTCTGAGGAGGAAGGAATCCCCCCCAAATATCACAACTATCAATCCAGAATGATTCGTCAATTCCAGACAAATTGAATAAATAAATGAGCTGCCAACAATAATGACACTATATAAGAGAATAATGGAGAAGTGAATTCAAAAAAGGTAAAATGAGGGCTGGAGGCCTGGCTCAAGTGGCACAGTGTCTGCCTATGAAATGCAAGGCCCTGAGTTCAAACCTCCGTACCAAAACAGTAACATGATATGCCAAGAAAAGGTTTTGTGAATCCCACATGTGAATGTACCGGCAAATAGCTGGTAGAGGCAGAGCACAGGGATTTGGCTAACTAAGGCTCTCCCAAAATGCAACTTCTAACCAAGCATTCTCCTGAAATGCTTCTAACCAGGACAGCATTTTCCAGAGTTAAAGCTGCAGATACTCAAGATGCTCTCTGGGGCAGTTCAGATTTAGATTAATACTCCAGCTTACCAAAGACACTGACAGGACACAATTTTAAGACTAAAAAAGGTTAATTCAATGCCATTCCAAAACTGTATTACTTCAGATGAAAAAGCATATCCATAAAACCAGCAGACTTTCATGTTAATAAAATACCAAGAGTTCTAATGTTCATGATAAGCCTATTTCTCAAAAACGTTTACCAAAAAAATAAATAAAAATAAAAATACCCATTCAAAAGACCCTCATAATAACCAGGTGCTGGTGACTCTTACTTGTAATCTTAGTTAGCTGGGAGGCTTGGACTGGGAGGATCGTAATTCTACCCCTAGCCCTACCAAAATGTTTGAGACCTCATGTTAATGGAAAAAAGATGGTCGTGGTGGCAAGAGCCTTTATCAAGAAGCTTAAAATAGGAGGATGGCCAAGGTCCATGCTGGCCTGTACAAAAAGTGAGACTCTATTTCAAAACCTAGACTCTATAACCAGAGCAAAAAGAGCTGAAGGTATGGCTCAAGCAGTAGAGTACATGCCTCCCAAGTGCAAAGCCAATTTCAAACTCCAATACTGCCAAAAAAAATATCAAAATCCCTCAACTACTACTGACCACAAACAAGCTAACAAATCCCAATGCCAACAGAACCAGGTCTAGTAAAATCACACATTAAAGGCATGATGCTATGTGAGGTAACAAAGGGAATAGGAGGATAGTGAATTACAATTAAAAAATCTGTGATCTAAAACTTTTCTCTAACTGCTCATGAAACTGTCATTAAGGATACCAGATGAACTACAAATACAAATTTTTATGTGAAAGCTCTTGAGTTTTCAAAGTTGCTAATTACAAAAATTTCTATGTAAAAAACAAATAAAAATATGGTCATGGTGATACATGCCTGTAACTCCAGCTACTCAAGAGGTGGAGAGCAGGAGAATGGTGGTTTGAAGCCAGTATGAACAAAATTGAGTGTAAGCCCATCTCAATGAGCAAGCTAGGTGTGGTGCTTCACATGTGTAGTCCCAGCTAAACAGGAGATGTAGGCAGAGGGATCACAGTCCTGACTGGCCCTGGCAAAAGTGAGACTCCACTTGAAAAGTGACTAAAAAGCAAAATGGGCTGGGGGCTTGGCTCAAGTGGTAAAGCACTTGTCTACCAAGCACGAGGTCCTAAGTTAAAACTCCAGCCGCCACCTACCCCCAACAATGACCTGAGCTCCCAATTTAAATTTTTTGCTTTAAACAATTCACCCAGGATCATATTAGGAGTTTAAAAAAAAAAAAAGTTCTAAATGTTGGCCCATTAAATCTTATCAGAATTTTAAAGAAAAGGTTTACATTTTATCAACACAAAATGTTGACATTCTGGGAAAAATAAAAATGTAAATTGTGCAGCACGCATCATTATTCTCCACTGAATTGTTAACTCTTCCTTTAAAATCTTAAGTTTCTTTGTGATTCTAATCTTAAACAGAATGAAGAAAAGTAAGACGTTTCTCACCATTAAAAGATACTCCACCGCTCTGTCAGGGTTGTTGAAACTGGCTCTCAGGGCTGCAATTACTTGCTCTCGTTCATAGCCCATTGACATGATCTCAGTTACCATATTCTCGTAAGACTGACCTGTCACTAAAAAAAGGGGCATAGGGACGGAGAAAAGTAACATTTAATGACATTCTTTATCCATCTTCTCACATATACTACTGTGTTAGGACTATAGACAAATAACAGTTTAAATTATAACATATACTAAGTAGGCAGAATAATGACCCTCCCCTCAAAAGATATTCATGTTCTAATCCCTGGAACCTATAAATATGTTAAGATTACATGGCAGGGCTGGAGGCATGGTTCAAGTAACAGCATTTGCCTAGCAAGTGTGAGTGAGTTCAAACCCAAGTACTGCTGGGAAAGGAAAAAAAATTATATGCCAAGGGGAAGTGAGGTTATAGATGAAACTGAAGTTACAGGTTATTAATCGGCTGGCTTCAAGGCAGGGAATTCAACCTCAACTTTCTAGTCGGTCCAGTATGTTCACAGGGGTCTTGGAAAGTCAAGAGGAGGCAGACAAAAAAGCAGGATCAGAGAAGCTATGTTGTTGCCTTTGAGGACGGAGAAAGAGAATGAGTCATGCTATGTGGTAAGCCTCCAGAAACCAGAAAGAACAAGGAACAGATTCTCCCATGTTTCTAGAACCAGCATAGTCCCCCTGATGCCTTGGTAAGAACCCATTAGACTTCTAACTTAAGATACTGCAAGACAGTGTGTGTGTTGTATACTACTATGTTTGTGGTAACTTACTGAAGTAACAACAGAAAACTAATGTTTCATAAGTATAACAGAAATATCAGGTATAGAGAATTGCAGTAAGTCAAGGACGGCAACCTATAAGGGACAAATGAGCTTAGTTTTGAAAACAGGTAGGTAATAAAAGGAAAAAAAAAAAAAAGAAAACAATTAGGAAGGGCACTTCAAGTAATCAACTCTGATATAACAGGTTTGTAGTTTTCTTTTGACACCTTTTATTATCAAAACAGTGGTGAAAAGGAAGTTAAGAACAGGCAAGAATCTCACACCACACAAGGCTGGTGTTTTTACTATTCTAGTAAGTCACTGACCAGAGAGAGGCTCTCTCTCCAATCCTCCTTCTCAGTTGGACTAATGTGCTCTTCATGAAAACAGCAGGCAACACTGACTAAATGAAAGCTTTCTCTCCTTAACTCACCTCTCTTAAAAGTATCTTCTTTCTGCTTGAGTTCTGGGTATCACTGACTCTATTGCCACCTCAAAAAAGTGGATTTGGTTTTCCTGAACCCCTTGTCCACCTTCCACCCTTCCCTGAGTAATTATCCTGATGAGCAGCTAAGTATTCTCTGTGTGTCATCCTTACACTTCACACAAATCCATTCTCACTCAGGAACCACCCATTTGCCTGCTCTCTTCCCTCCACAACTGCTGCTATCCACACATCTTGCGTCCACTGCCTCACATTGTATTCATTCTTCAAAAAACTCTATTGATTTCCCCTCAAATATGTCCCCTCATTGTGTCCTTTCCCTTTCAATAAATGGCACTAATAGCCACCCAAGTGTTGACCCAGAAACCCTGGTGATTTCAATTCCTTTCCCCACTCCTTCCACATCTAACTTACCAGTATTACCTTGTTGGTCCCATCTCCAAATTATGCCTCAAACCCACCTAGCTTCTTTTTCTACTGCCATCACTCAAGACAAGCCAACAGCCATCTCTGGTCTGAGTCATACTCTGCCCCTACAAACTCATCTTACCCGGCTACAAAAGTGAACCTTTAAAAAGAAAAAGCTCATTGCATCCCGGCTGCTGTCAACAATAATCTACTCCCACTCATCTCTGTATTACTATTAAGTCAAGCCTTTTCCTGCCAAGGCTTTACTCACATTAGCTCCTCTGATGGCCCATTCCTTCTGACCTGCTAGTTATAAATGCCCAGGCATCCTAAATAGCCTGTTTTTCTTTATGGAAGCTTTCTATATTCTTAATATCTTTTATCATGAACTACAATTTAAAGCAAGACCATGTCACTTTGCATCAGTTTCACTGAATAATTTTTTTCTACAGAATTTTGAAAAATGAAGATATAGTTTTAAAAAACCTAAATATGGCTGTGGTTTGCTCCCCCAAGTGTCCTAGTATTAGAGGCGTGGTGCCCAGTGTGGCAATGAGAGGGGTGGTGGAACCTTAAGGAGCCCCTAAAGAGTTATGTGGGTCACTGAGGGTGTTACTCCCCTGGGAGGGATTAGGGTAGTGTTTGTAGGCCCCTAAGGTAGTTATCTAGAGAGCAAGCTGTTATAAAAAGAACCCCTCTCAACTTTGGTTTCTTGTCTTTCCACACAAATGCTCCCTCTCATGAGCACTTCTGTCACTGTAATGATGCTACTCACTGTGAGGCTTTCAGAGCAGAGTTGAGCAGATGCCAATGCCACCCTGAACTGTGGGGTAAATAAACCCTTTTTTCTTTATAAAGTACTCAGCCTCAGGTATTTCACTATAGAAAACAAATTGATATATGAGCTTTCTTTTCTCATCTCATAAAACACTTTTTAATGTTTTTATTTTCTTAATGATACATTGATGTAATTCTAGCACAAAGATACTCAAGTTGGCAAAAAACTTTCAGTTGCCTAGTTCCCAGATAGGAAATCTCAATATAAACAAAATTTAAGAGTAGTGGAGGATCAGAACTGTACTTATCTTAGAAAGGTATTTCTTATTTAGTTCTCATAAATCCTTAAGAGAGAGTTTATTTTCATCTCTTTTAAGATGAGGAGGCTTAGGACTAGAGAGGAATTAATGTGATCCAGGTGGCAACGGATGGTAAGTCATGGCACAGACACACACAGGATGTTACAATCCAGAGTTCCCATACCCCACACTCAATCGTTATACCATGCCTCTTGAAAATGTTTCCTATTTCATATAACTAAAAAGACTTGAAATGTCTAGACAGTCTTATTCATTTTAGATCTTAAAAGTACAGTGACAAATGGCTAGTAGAAAGACTACAGAGAATAGACAAGAAACAGAGCAAAGATGCCGAGGAAGCAAAGTCAATTACCAGCAGGAACTGTACCAAGTGGAATGATTCCGAAAGATTAAGGTTAGGGGAGAGGGAAAGGCTTAATTCAATAGGTAAAATTAAAATCGGGATAAGAAAGCTTTTTATGCTACAAGCCTCTGTTTGCAACAAGACGTAGATGGGAACATGTAAGGACAACCCTGGAATGAAAGCTAGATGTGAATAAACTTGAACTGTGAGGCAGATGGAGGAAAATTTTATATTCTTTCAAAGAGACTTTGTAATAAACACACACACAGATCCAATCTTGTTAAGACCACATTTAAAATTCACATCTGCAAAATTACTTGCTTTAAGGAAAAGAGTGTGCTTAAATGTAGGAGTTTGAAAGGATTCAATTTTATAAGTCTGCAATAACACAGTTAATTGAAAAATAATCTAATTTTTCAGCTTGATTGTAAGTAACTGTGGAAATGATCACATTACTATGACCTAGAAAAAAATAAAACTTAAATCTTCTTCCTTATCGCAAACTGGATACTTACCAAGTGCACTTGTTGCATCTTCAAAAAGGTTTGACCGAGAAGAATCTCCTGAAGTACTGTAGAAGGGATTTAGAAAAATCTTATTTCAGAAAGTACGAAAAATTTACAATGGTCTAATAACTACCAATTTGTAAAGAAATTCACTTTGTGCGTGTGTATGTGTGGTTCTGGGGTTTGAACTCAGGGCCTAAACCTTAAGCCACTCTACCAGCCCTGTTTTGTGATGGGTTTTTTTCAAGATATGGTCTCGCAAACTATTTGCTCCAACTGGCTTTGAACCTCAATTAGACTCTTGATCTCTGCCTCTTGAGTAGCTAGGATTACAGGTGTGAGCCACCAGCACCTGGCTCACTTTAATTAAGTATAGAAGTATAGTGTTTAAACAGTCTGTTCTAGACTAAATCCAAAAGCATAATCAATAACATATATGGCTTTGGAAAATTTTTCAATCTTAACTCCTCTTATTCTGGGAATCCAAAGACATAATGCCTTTAGAAATAGCTTACTCTATCCTAAGGAACATGAAAAAAATAAAGCATAATTAAAAATATCTGTAAGTCAAGTCATAGCAGAAGAAATACCAAAAGCAGTACGTGATAAAATAGCACATATAGAAACCAAATGAGGTTGGGGAGTCTGAAGTTTTATAAATAAGCTACAAGTTTTCAATGATGAAGCTGAAAGAAATGAAGCATATGTAAGAAAGGCAGATGTGTGCTAAATCAAAGTTCTAACGTGAAGGAAACCAGTTTAAAAGACTGGAGGTGTGACTAAGTGATAGAGTGCTTGTAAGGCCGAGTTCAATCTCCAGCACCGCAAACACAAAAACAAAGATTAAGTTTCTGTTGGGGAAGCAAACAAGATGATGAAACACCATGAAAAATAAACTGAAGCTTATGAAAGTGGCAAAGATAGTAGTTAAGTTTAAATTAGCACACACATGTCCCATACATTTAGCTCTTTTCCAATTTTAAAAACAAAACCACATTACACATCATTTCCTCAGAAAGCCCTCTGTAGCATAGCAAGAGCTAAGGAACCCATCTGAATTCATACATTACTTAAATTTTCTAAGCCTCAGGTTTTCTCATCACTACTATGAAGTCAACAATAGCATACATCAGACTCCCAAATGTTACTGGTAGGGTTACTGTTAGTAAAGTGCTTAGTGCCCAGCATTAATGTGATTAAAATAATCCTTTGATAAAATTTTTCAAATTTCTTTATTAAGCAGTAAAACTAACATGAAGAAGGTAAAATTTCACAAAGAGTAATATAAAAAAAGAGCCAGTAGCTCATGTTGTAACCCTAGCTACTCAGGAGGCAGAGCTCAGGATTGCCGTTCAAGGCCAGCCCAAGCAAATAGTTCTCAAGACTCTATCTTGGAAAAAAACTTTACAAAAAAGGGCTGGTGGAGTGGCTCAAGGTATAGCCCCTAAGTTCAAACTCCAGTACCACACACACAAAAAAAACCCAAAACAGTAATTTTACTGCCTCAGAGACAATCACTAATACACTGGTTTCTATTTTAAAGAATGACTTGGGTCTTGCTTTTGCTTATCTTTGCTTTTGTTTTTTAATATAACAATCACTCTATGAAAGTACAATCAGGGCTACCTCAAATTTTCCCCACAGATGTATAGTGTTCCATTTAGCAGACCAAATCAAACTCCTATTATGATATTTGTAGTTTGATTTCCAAGTTTTATTCTTATTTTTTCCCTTGTTCTCCACTAGCTACATTAAATCTTTAAAGTGTACAACATGAGGTAATTATCTTTTTTCTCCTCCATCTGTCGAGGCATTTTATCCCAGTAACATTTTTCCCATGAGCTGAAATTGCATCTTTAGCTTATATTAAGTTTCTATTTGGTTCTATTTCTAGACTACTGTCTATGCTACCAAGTAATCTTTCTAAATCAGGCCATTTCACATTGTTTTAATCACTACTATATATAATTCATTTTAGTACCTGGAGAAGTAATCTCCTCCAGAATAATTTGCACTATCTTCTTGAATTATTTTAAACATTTTTAAACACTGAAGGCTGAGTATATTAACTACAATTCTTCAATCTTCACTCAGCTCTACCTCTTCTCCCTTCCCTAACTGCAGAGAAAAATCGCTCAGCAGTTAGTGTCAGACTTTTACTTTCTTCCTACACATTAACAGGCATACCCATGGAAATGTACAATGTTGTTTTAAAGATTTCACTTGGCTTGTGTGCACTGCCCACCTTTTTTTTTCCACTCAAAAAGTCTTGAAACCACATTCATTTAATATGTTTATATACTACATACTTCAGCTACCCTGAAGTCACAGTTACAGGGCTTCTCAAATTTCAGCAAGCCTACAAATTCACCAGGAAGACAGTGTTAAAATGCACCTGCACCCCCATGTAATTGTAATTTAGAGGTCTGGGGTGGAACCTAAGAATTCATTTCAAACAACTTCCAGCGGTGTTGTTGATGTTGCCTGTAGACTACCATACTTTGAGGAGCAATGTTCTCTAAACCACAGATCAAGTCATTCCCTTACTGATTATTTAGGCTGACAACCATTTGTTCTTGATTACAAACAATACAGACCTTGCACACAAGTATAGTTTCTTTAAAATAGACTATCAACAAGTGGAATCTGTACTGTAATAGAAGGCTTTTTGTTTGGTATGATTTTTTGGCAGTACTAAAGTTTGAACTCAGGGTCTTACACTTGCTAGGCAAGATACTCTACCACTCAGACACAATGCCAGCCCTTTTCCCTTTACTTATTTTTCTAACAGGTTCTCACTTTTATGTTGCAGTTGGTCTGGACTGTGATTTTCCTATTTATACTTTCCACATAGATGGGATGACAGGCGCATACCATCACACTCAGCTACTGGTTGAGATGGTGTCTTGATATCTATTTACCTCTACCATGATTCTCCCAATTTCTGCCTCCTTAGTAGCTAGTATTAAAGGCTTGAGCCCGTGCCTGGCCTGCATAGGTAACTTTTAAAGTGCAAAATGAACTACAGATAAATGTCAGGCCAGCAGTGATGGCTAAATTTTCTGACACTTTACATATTCATACCAGTGTACATCCTGATTTTATCCACTGGGTTTTGTGCTTTTTACAGGATACTAGCTGTTTTACAGACTAAAGGACTAAGGCACATTTGAGTAGGTGCTTTTTCTGAGCTTCATTCTTCCTTTCCATATCATCCTTCCCTGAGATGCATGATTTTGAGAAATAAAACTAAGTAGTTGCTGTACAAAGTCTGCATAAGGACTCTTAACTGCCTGCTTCCCTGAATCACTGGCCACCATCACCTCACTTTACACAATGCTTTGGAGATCTAAAAAAATAATTTTGCCTCTTTAGAATAGGTGAATAAAATTATACCCCCAGGAAATAATAAAGGCAAAAATTTAAATTGATATTAGTACATTAAAATGTTCTGATCAATTATGAAATGTTCATACTGTGAGCTTTTCTAAGGAGCAATTAAGAAAATAAGGACTGGAGGTGTGGCTCCAGTGGTAGAGCACCTGTTTTGCAAGCACAGATCTCTGAGTTCAAACCTCAGTTCACCCCTCCCGAACACACACAAAAAGACACTGTACTGACTTAACATATAACAATTTTACAAGATTTGAATGGCTTCTGGAATCAACTTGTTAAGATTTATATAAGTTCCCTTTCATACACAGACTTATCAACAGGCCTTTCATGTAACAGCTTAACCCGATTCCGGGTAATCTACTAACGATAGGTTGAAGGCATTCCTTGTTGTATGTAACAGAGATAGCTTAAGTTAGGCAATGGTATCACAGACGCTGAAAGCAAAGTACTCTAGTCAACACAGGGAAAATAATTATGTTTCCTGAGTCTGTGCTGTCTTCTCAGCCATGAGTCAGATGACTCAAGATTCCTACAAAAATGGCTCACTGAGTCAAATATTAGAAGCCGCACTTAGGGCAGAACACGAACCACAGTGAACAGTGACACAAAAATATCAAATGAAACCTCCATGAACAATTTGTACCAGACACCGGTGGCTCATGTCTGTAATCCTAGCTACTTGGGAGGCAGAGACCAGGAGGATCATAGTTCGATGCCAGCCTAGACAAGTAATTTGTGAAACACTATCTCAAAATACCCAACACAAAAAGGGCTGGCGGATTTGGCTTAAGTGGTAGAACACCTGCCTAGCAAGTGTGAGGCTCTGAGTTCAAATCCCAGTACTGACAACAAACAAAACAATTACGAAGCTTCCAATTGTGTGCCATTCTGAGTAGTATGATGAAATAATACCATGTGCCAACATCTATCTATCTATCCTTTGTTCAGTATATCCATGCTGTATATGCTACCCACCTGTTGTTCACTTAGCAGTCTCAGGTTACCAGAGCAACTTGATGAAGTGTGTTGTGGGACCTAAGAACACAGTGCTTGGGTGCACATAACTTTCATTTTACCTTGTTACAACATGCAAGAATAGTGATGGTGGCAAATCAAATATGCCAAAGAAAATTGTTAATTGCTTCCTTTAAATGAAAGCTCTTAGAAAAGAAAAAAAAATCATATGCAAAGGTTGCCAAGGTCTACAGTACAATGAAACATTTTGAAAGGGACTACATACATTCTTGTTTGAGACATGTCTCTCTACGTAGCCAACTCTGGGTTCAAACTCACAATCTTCCTGCCTCAACCTCCCTAAGTACTGGGATTACACAGGAGTGTACAACCATGCCCAGCTCATGTAACTTTTATTATAGTATATTGTTATAATTGTTCTACTTTATTATTGTCATTAATCTCTTACTATGCCTAATTTAGAAACTAAACTTTACCACAGTCATATTTGTATAGGATAAAAAATAGTATCTAAAGCTCAGCACTATGTATGGTTTAAGGTGGCCACTGGGCATCTTGGAACATATCCCCTGTGGATTAGAAGGCACATCTGTATACTCTTTCTGTTCACTACCATATACTTTCCATGTCAGCAAGTGTTTCCAGTCACTGCATACTTTCACACTGTGTCTGGTTCTAATTCAAAGTTCGCATAATTACTGCCACTGAGGTCCTGAATAGCACTAAATCATACAACCAAATGCTGCAGTGCCAATGAAGGCTCATATAGCTTATGCTCTTAGACAACGCAGAGATAGCTTTATGTGATTTCCAGCCAAGATAGCCAGATGAAATCATTTGCTTTGGTCATTTTATTATCATTTAAGGTCAAAAAACAATCTTGGTCATAGACTGTTCAATAATTCTCACTGCAAACTTTCCTTGAGAAATTTTTTCTTGCTTCTCCAAGTGTCTCAGCAGTTTATTTTTAAATAAAATCTATATAGACAGAAGCTTAAACTTTTACACAATTTCACAAACATACAGATACAACAGTAAAAATGTAAACAGTTCACAGGTTCAACAAAAGGTGTTAGGGGAAATATCAACAACTGCTGGCAATTACTCAGTGTTATTGTGAATCATGTGCTATTTCCTAAGACTGACACAATGTTTCTCTTAGAGCTGGTGGTATCAGGACTGTAGAGTATAGAAATCTGGATGTTGGGAATGCACAGCTCCTCTATTACCTATGTAAACTATCAATATAGAAAAAAAGCATATGATTGAATCAAAGTTTAGAAAAAATTTGACATAGTAATTTGATCAAAAGAAAAATCAAAATAAACACATGCAGAAATTCTTGTTATACACCTATTCTGGTATGCAATTTCCTAAAAACCAGTCTTACCTGTCAGTTGATGTTGGGGTAGTAGTCACTGGTGTCTCTGCTGGCTTTTCTATGGGTTTCTCTTGCTGAGTTGCACTGGCAGGTGCAGGTTCAGAAGACACTGTCGTTGATGCTGGAGCAATGGATGCAGGTGTGGAAGTGGGAGCCAAAGCGGGTGCAGGGGTTGGGGCCGGAGCCACAGCGGTTGCTGTGGAGGAACTAACCACGGTGGTGGTGGCAGGACTGGATTGCTGAGTTGTAGCTGGTGCTGGTGTTGTCACTGCTTTGGGCTAAATACGTTAAAAAGCAAAACAATTAAGATAAATATATTATGTGATCTCTAATTAGACTACTATTACAGGATGCTACAAGGCGAATACAAACATGTAACTTGACCGATTTTGTAAAATAAGATAATAAATGATCTATATAAGCAAATCAAATCATTTTGTTAGTTTTCAAAGTTCTTAAGAGAATTTATCAATCTCTATTTGCTTTATCCAATAATCTCAGCCTTCTTATCAATTTAATATGAAAAAGAACCAAAAGAATATTTAAAAATAACACAGAATCTGTATCCTCACAAAAGTACATAGTTCTCCACAAAAAACTTTACCTAAGTATAAATAGATGTATAATTACTAACAAACATGTCAAATACTCTGCTGTATTTTAGGATGAGGAAAACCCTAATGTTGACTACCAAGTAACGGGTTCAAGTACAAACAGATTAATAATATTTTAAGATAAAGACAAAATAAACTAATAATTGCAAGCTCCATAAAGCTTTTCACAGAGCAAAAAACAAATATGTATAAAAAGCATACTAGGATTTTTAGTCCTCTGAGACCTAACAATATTCACTATTTGTTTAGATCATAACTTTTCTAAGGACAAAAGTTTTTAATGAAAGATGGTAGAAGTCAACAAAATTTGTTACAAGCCTAAGTAGTTACAAATTATAAAACCAACAGGCTGACTTATGTCTTCTTTGACTTGAGTCTGCAGAAAGTGCATTGGGGAAAAAGCGGCTGCTGCAAGCTGAGGAATGGAAGCTGCTATTGTTTAAAAAACAACAGCATTTATTCCCTTATTTTCCTATTCTAAGAGCATCGTAATGAGTTCCATAATCAGCTTAATATGCCAATATGATACATGAAGACTGTTTTTTTGAGACAAGGCCTCACTATATAGCCCAGGATGGCCTCAAACTGTGACCCTCCTGCCTCAGTCTCCTGAGTGCTGAGATTACATAAGTGTTCCACCATGCCTAGCTCCCTCTGAAATTAATGTTCTAAAACTCCAATGAGCTGAAACTCTTAGTCGATGAGTCCTTCTGGATAAATTGGAGCTTCACAAGGGTGAAGATCTAAATTTTTAAGCACCAAAATATTGTAATAACCAACCTAGATAAAAATGTATTTTAAATGCTTAATACCCACTTAATATTTTCCTTAACTATTTATGATCAATATTGTAGTGATTCATGCTTTTAAGGTCTCTATTTCCACAAATAGCTCTTTAAGCCTTAGTCTAAATTGTACCAAGCCCCTCTGCTTTTTCGAAGTCATTCTTGCTTTTGATTTTAATAGCTTTTCCCCCTTTCTTTGTTACAAGCTGGCATTTCTTCCATAATGCTTAACCGTAACAGCTTTCTTCCCCTTCTAATAGCTGGACTCTACTGTTCACTTCAAAGTAAAACAGCCATGGGCATTGTTACAATCCTGTGTAATACAAGGAATAGTCTAAGTTTCTATTCCTTAAAAACAAACACTCTGAGGCCATTTCTGCTTTCCATTACATTCTGAATAGTCAAAGTTACTAAAATAATACAGGAAATAAGACCAATAACAAAACATACCCTAGCTGGATGGGGTGGTTCACTCCAGTAAAAAAGTGATCAGGCAAAGATCACACAAAATTTAGTGAGACCACCATCTCAATCAATAAGCTAGGCATGGTGTCTTCAGCTGTGATCCCAGCTATGTGGGAGGCCATAGGTAGGGGGATAGAGGTCTGAGAGTTGGCCTCAGGCAAGAACGCAAGACCCTATCTGAAAAGTAAAGCAAAAAAGGGCTGGAGGCGTGATTCAAGAGTTCAAACCCCAGTACTGTCCCCACTTCAAAAATCCTAATGTGTGTGTATCATGCTTTCTGGTATGTTCTATATATAAAACTAGTAGAGAAAATGAATTATTCACCCTTAAAAGGGGAAGAAATTGGGTTGAGCACGGTGGTGCACACTTGTAATCCCAGCTACACGGGAGGTGAAGGTGGGAGGATGGCAGTTCCAAGCCTGCACAGAAAAAAAAGGTTGGTGAGACCCTATCTCAACAAACAAGTGGGGCAGGATGGTGCATTCTGGTAATCCCAGCTACTCCTATGAAGGCAGAAGTAGGCTCTTGGTCAAGGCAAAAAGTTCAAGGCCCTATCTCACAAAATGAAAGCAAAAAGGGCTGGGGGTGCAGCCGAAGTGTAGAGCACTTGCCTTGTAAGCTCACGGCCCTGTGTGTAAACTCTAGTACTGCCCTCCTCACAACAAAGGAAGAAATATGACATGTGCTACAACACAGTAAGTATATGATTTCAATCTGAGGAAATGAAGTTTTGAAGATGAATGGTTGTGATGTTTGCACAAAAATGTCCTTGCTATGTATCTTATACTACCAACTGTACACTTAAAAATGGTTAAACTGGTAAATTTTGGATCACAATTCACAACTGGAAAAAAAATCCAAAACTGGATGATACGAAGTTTCCTTGTATGATTCTGCTTCTCTAAATTTAAGTTTGACATTTAAACTTTTTCAGGGGTAGGGGAGGGTGGTACTGGTGTTTCAACTCAGGGCCTTGTGCTTGCTAAGTGGGTACTCTGCTGCTTGAGTCATACCCCTAGTCCAGTAACACTTAAAAGTACTTAAATACAGCATATCCTTATGATCCTTATTGCATTAAAATTTTTTCAAGTCCCATAAATTTAAGTCATTTAGTTGCTTTTTGTTCCCCAGTACAAAAACGTACACTAATTAAAATTTATTTTTTCAGCTCTATTTTCTACTACTATCCATTATTTTGTGTCACTGGAAAAAAACCCCTCACATTTACTCCACTTTTGATCTTTGATGAACTGGTTCCAATTATCCATTTAAACTTCCTTTCAGTACTACAATTAATGCTTCTTGCTATGGTTTATACACCCTCTTCCTCCCAACCAAAGTCTTCTGTTAATGACATTAATCTGGCCTTGGTGCTTAGGAGGAGCCTTCAGGAAGCCACTAAATTAGACCATCAGGTAGCCCATTACTGAATTTAGGTGACTTTATAAGGAGAACTATTACACATCAACAGATGGAGAGAAATACACATTTGCTCCCACCATCATGTGTTGTAGCCAAGAAGGGCCCTTGGCAGGGCCTGTGTCATGCTGCATGTGTTGTAGCCAAGAAGGGCCCTTGGCAGGGCCTGTGTCATGCTGTTGGACTTTAAGCCTCAAAAACTAAGCTAGTGAACCTCTTTTTCTTATAAAGTAGCTGTCTCAGGTTATTTCATTATAGTAATGAACAGCAGACTATTACTGCTCTTTCTCAGATGACGACATTTCAATCCTGAAGATTAACATCATGAACCAGGTTAGGTAGTTCAAATCTGTAATCTTCGGTACTTGGGAGGCAGGGATCAAGAGCATACAGTTTGGAAGCTGGTCCAGGCAAAAGTTCAGCCCAATCAATAAAAGCTAGACATGGTGTGCACACCTGTCATCCCAGCTACAAAGGAATGGTAAATAGGAGGATAGTGCTCCAGGCTGGCCTAGGCAAAAACTGGAGATCCTATCACAAAAATATCCAAAGCCATAGGACTGGCAGAGTGACTCAAGTGGTGAGGCCCCAGCCTACCAAGCATGAGGCCCTAAGTTCAAACCCCACTATCACTAAACGAACAAAAATCAGAAATAATATCATTGGTGGCACTACTTCTGCACTTCACTGTCCACTGCATGCATGATTATGCATCTTTGAATAAACAAGTGTACAAATAGGGCAGTCTCTTAAAGAAACTATATTCATTCTCTGCTTTAAGAGAAAAAAGTCACTTTCGTAAGTCACTCCAAATATATTTCAGTGCAATAAATCACAGAAGTTCCTGCTAAAAACTTCCTCACAAAATCATTCTAACATTTCTTTAGCTGCCTTTTCCTTTTTCCCAGTTTCTTAAATGCTACCTCTTTACCAAGAAATATCAGTGAAATAATGAGCCCACATTAAATGCCTTTTTGCTGAACAGTTCATCAAATATAGTAATAATTTATCAACTCCCTTTAAAGCTACAGAATTAAAATAATTACATAGTAACCTAACTACTCCAGCAAAACCAATTTTAAGACATTCTTCATTTCACGTAAAAGTACACTAAAACTATGAATATAAAAATTGTTAATTTTATGGATGACCCTAGGAGAATCTTCCTTAATACCAGTTAAGTACATAATGCTATGGATGTGTTATAAACTATCCACTCTATGGACTTGGGATCATTATCATTATTGAGGCTAAAACTTACTTTTGTCACCATAACCACCACGAAGTTTTTCTCATCAATTTTATATTCTTTGAGAGCAGTATCATCATTGAGGATTTTACCTATATTGAGAGAACAAAATGTTATCTAAGGCAAAGGCAAAATAAGTTCTGTCTTACAGGTAAAGTAAAAAAAAAAAAAAAAACAAAAACAACTTTCTTGCAACTAATCATTATATAATGCAAGTATTAATCCTTTTTTTTTTTTAAGTCCTGTCACTTGCTTATAGTCTCTTTCGGACACAAGGTCTCACTATGTAGCTCAGGCTGGCCTTGAATTTTCAACCCTTCTAACTCAGCCTCCCCAACACTGGGATTACAGGCATGTGCCAACATGTCTAGTACTTATAGTCTCCTGACAGGGTGTTCTGTATATTCTTCAATCAATTTTGGTAATTTATTTTTAAAAACACATACATTGAAACTTAATTTTACAGGAATTATTTCAGGCATATTAATTAACAATCAGCAAATGGTTCTAATCCAACAGATTAAAAAAAACCAAGATGATCAGCTTAATAAAAAACACAAAAGCTTACAAAACACGAAACTAAATAAAACTAACATCACTTCATGGAAAAATATACAGGGCAAATGTAAATAAAGAGAAGATTGAATATTAATGCCATATACAAATAGTTGTTCTTTCACTGCTGTTATTTAAACAATCATGTTCTGGACAGAATTAATCTGAATATACTATAATTTTGTAAGATAACATTTCTAAAACTGAAACTATTACTGTAAGCAAGATAAGGCATATTAATTTCAATATTTAATTCATACCTGCATAAATTAATTTTTGACCTGCCACTGGAAAAGCATCTTTCCCCTTTTCAGATTCAATCTTCTCTTTCAGTGCTTTTACCTACAGGAAAAAAATAATAAAATTTTTTAAAGCCTAAACAAAAAAATGACAACGCAGACTGAAAAAAATGATGCAAGATAAAGTTTTTAATACTTTTTAATTATTAATACCTCCAGATACTCAAAGATCACGTTTTTCCATATTATAACCAAGACTCACTTTTAAACCTGTATTATTTGGAATAAGCACAAATGTGGTTTATTCCACCTGTCACACATACATAGCTTTTAAAGCATGCTGGAGGCCTGTATTTAATCCTCACCAACACAAAAAATTTTCTCTCTCATTTGATAAATTCAAACAAAGGTTTCAAAACCAAAAAGTTTTGGTTTCACAGAAAAGTTTATGGGCTTATTTCCCACAGAGCAAGAAAGTAAACCTTTCTAACCTAAAAGACCTAAGAAATCAAATGTTGTTGCTTATAATACTTCAAAGTTAAAGGCTACCTGTAAATGTTAAAAGACAAATGATTCATTTTCAAGAGCATTCTAATGTGTCATTACAGTCACTCAAGGGTTTTTATAAAGATCAATTAAAACAGGGGGTGGAGTACTGTATTTTTTAAATGCTGTACAGATGGTTCCAAGTTCAGCTGAGAATGATGGTCTACTTAAAAGATTTTCAACAAGTAGCTTGGCTTCTCTCAGCATTAGTCTCAATCTCTAAAAGGAGACCAGAATGGATGACCTTTATGGCCTCTTCAATTCCTAAAATTCTGATGAAAGGCTCATTATAAAGTAGTTAGAAAATTAATCAACTTCTTGAACTGACCAGAAAGCAGGGTGTCAAACCAGTAAAAAGGCAAGGAGACTTGGCTTTCCCACGTGCCTTAATGGAACCTCATTACTTTTAAAGGTGTAAGATTCAAGGGATAGATTCCATTTCCTTCAACTTCCCAGAATACTTCTGACTGTTCCAGTTTTATGTGAACAACTATCTGACAAAAAGAGATACAAAGACAGTTTCTTGGTACAATTAAAAAGTAACAGTACAGAGAGCTGGATGCGGTGGTGCATGCTTACAATCCCAGCACCCAGGAGGCTGAGACAGTATTAAGAATACTGAGTTGAAGGTCAGGCTGTGCTACATAGCAAGGCCATCTCCCATCCCCCCTCATCCCCAAAAAATGTCAGGCACAGTGGCTCCCACCTTTAATCCTGGCTACTTGGGAGCAGGTGAGATCCAGAGGATCACAGTTCAAGGACAACCTGGCATAGAAAATAACCAACACAAAAAGTGCTGGCAGAGTGGCTCAAATTGTAGAGTGCCTGCCTAGCAAACGTGAAGCCAAAGTGATGGTGTCTATTTCCAAAGTCAAAAAGTCAGAGGTTGTAGGTATGGCTGGCTCAAGCAGTAGAGCACCTGCCTGGTAACTGTGAAACCCTGAGTTCAAACCCCAGTACTGCCCCCACCCCCAAATAGACAGGAATATTTATTTACTTCAAATGTGTTACCATGCAAGAGTCAACATAATCTTCAAAACTCCAGGACCAATGGAAATATCCACTCAATTTTATGGATGAGGAAGTGGAAATAATGAGGTTAAAACACCTGACCTACATCACACTGCTATTTAGTGGTAGCTGGAACCTCAAATTTTCTGATTTCAAGCTTTGGTGCATTTTGAAAATACCATATAAACTAACTACACTGATCTTCCTTAACTATGTCAGGAGCATCACAAAAATCTCAACACATTACCATTCACTGTTCCAAATTTCAAAGCTAAACCTAACACATAAAACCTTTAAAAGATAACTTAGGCCAGGTGCAGTAGCACACACCTGTAATCCCAACAACTGAAGAGGTGGAAACAGGAGGATCAAGGTTTGAAACCAGCCTGGCAAAAAAGTTAGCATGACCCTATCTCAAAGAACAAGTGAGGCATAGTGATGGAGCCTGTAATCCCAGCTATGCAAGAGGCACAGATAGGAGGAACACAGCCTGAGGCCAGCCTGATTTGAGATCCTATCTGAAAAAATAACTAAAAGCAAAAAGGGCTGAGGACATGGTTCAAATGATAGAGGACATGCCTAGAATGCACAAGGCCCTGAGTTCAAACCCCAGTACCACCACAAGGGTGGGGGACCTCAGAAAATCACCTGAGCAGAAAATTCAGTATGAATTACACACCATTCATTATCCAATTTAGTACACTGTTTTCCTGGTAGGTGGTAAAGCTCTAACCTAGGTGTGATTCAGAACTTAAAAATAAGTTTTTTTCTGTTGGGTGTGGGTGTGAACCCAGGACTCTGCACTTGCAAGGCAGGCGCTCTACCACTTGAGCCACACCTCCCATCTTTTTGCTTCTTTTCTTTTAAATCACATCTTCATTAACATCTCTATGATTCACTCCACCTTAAGACTCTCTCAGGTGTTTGTTAATGAAAGACTGCATATAGAAGCATCTATACAGAAGAATCTAGTTATTTTCTAGGAACCCAAACATTAGATTTACAAAAAAAAAGTAAAACACTATGCATTTTCACTGCTCTGCTATTGTACAAAATTATTTTATCACAAAAACATTAATTAAAACATACAGTGAATTATTTTTTAAATAAAAACATCTCAATTTTAATTTCTAATATGGTAAAAATTTATAAATTTAAGCACAAACGAGTTATTTCGGAGTTCTTAATAACTTAAATGTAAAGGAGTCATAAGCTCAAAAACTTAGAATTGACATTCTATATGCTAAGTGACACGCCAAAGTCAATTAAGGGATGGCAGAGCACAGCTAAAGTGTGCTATGGTGAATGGTAAATTTCCCTTCAAACTCTTGTTTATAGAGGAAGAAAAAAGATGCAATTTTCTCAAGAGTAATTACTTCAACAAAACCACATGTGAATTACAAACCACGTGTTACTGTAAATGAACCCAGTTCTCAGAACATTATGTAATGCACATACTAACTGCTCAATTACCATATGCTAAATGAATATAAAAGAAACACTTGAAGGAGGCCAAGTGTGGTAGCGTGGTGCATCACAGCTATAATCCAAACACTCAGGAGGCTGAGGTAGGACGATCATGAGTTTGAGGCCAGCACTGTGCAACATGAACGAGATCTGTTAAGGAAGGGAGGAGTGAACTACCTAAAAGAAATATCAGTCATCTCATTCCTGACAAGTTATAATAAGCAAGACTATTAAATCACACACACACACACACACACACACACACACACAACAGAAACTATTATAGGTCATTATCTAGCTTTGAGCATCAAAAAAGACAGAGAAAAGAACACTCCCCCACACAAAAAAACCTTCCTAATCACTTACTACTAAATAACTTTTGCTTCAACAAAATCAAAACTGTGATTTAAGAATATTAAGAGTGTAATGAGGAGAACTCTGCACAAAAACATGTATATGGTTTGGCTAAAGAAGTAATCACAGTACATTAGTATATACAAAGGAAATGAACAAGCTTATCATGCAATTCAAATAGAAAAAAAGAAAAACTGCAAATGAAATTAAGAAAAAAGGCACAAAATGCTCTTGCATTAATGGAAAACAGATAAAAAGGGAATCCATGATTACAGTCAATAAGAGTTTTGACCTCTTAATAACCAAAAGCACAAACACTGATGTCACACGAAAATTAATCCAATACACTGTCACAATAGAAGACAGTTTTGAACAATTCTTGCTGTTGACAAGTATGAAGAGATATACTCCCAAAATGGGAGTATCAGATGATAAAATTTTTAAGGGTAATATAGCACATGCTTCAAAAATTTTAAGAGGAGAGGCATTCAACACAACAATACCACTTTTGGTACTATATCAAAGAAAATAACCAAACTAGACTTTGTAACAAGTATGAAAGACCTGTCCAAAATTGTGGCATTGCTCCTTTACCTCAATACAGCAATGATCTTTACTTCTAATTCATTTAAGTCATCAAGACACAGAATGAACTTTGTCATCCAAACAATGTTCTATCTTTGAAATTTTTTATGTGAGCAATCTCCTATACCTACTAATTCCCAACAACTGGAACTACACTTGTCCTAATGCTCATTAAGGCCTTGGTCCCTAAAGTCTCTTCTTTCAATCTTCACTTCTATAAATAAAGAGTATAATAGAACTGAAAAACTATCACCTAGTGACATCACAACCTTCCTAACATTAGTAACATAACACATTACGCACATCATTTGAGGTAATGGTGGGGTAAATAAATCTACCGTGTTGCCTGCCAGTCATAAGAAAAATAGAGCACATGTGATTATGTATACTACATAGTAATTGTTAATAATAAACTATGTTACTCTCCTTTTTAAATCATTATTTTATTTTACTATTTATTTATACTTTTGGAGGCCAAGTCTTGTTATGTTGCCCAGGCTGGCCTCAAAAATGATTCTCCTGCCTCACTGTCACAAGTAGCTGGGATTATAGGCATGTACTAGCATGCCTGGCTTTATCACTATTTTAAAGTGAACTCTTTATTAAAAAGTTTTCTGTGAAACAGTATAGTGTTATGCCTTACTACATCTCTTCACTGTATCAAGAAGTCACATTGAAAAGACCTATGCCATCTAGGATTGTGTGAATATACTCTAAAATGTTCTCACAAGGGCAAAGTTGCTTAAGGACATATTCTCAGAATACATCCCTGTTGTTAAGCAATGCACAACTGTAGTTACTTGTGTTCAACAAATTTAGGCTCTATGAGGTATCAAAATCGTATAAATTATGTTCTCATGAGAATAGTAAAATGTGCTGCCATGTCACTCTTCTTGTACAGTACTTGGCCTAAGGTTTCTAGTGCTATTTCTTATTGATTAGGTCAGCAAATGAATATTCATAAACCAGCTTCCCGATGTTATAGCATATCTTTCTACTTTCTTTTGTAACCATACTGTTTGTAACTATATAGTAAAAAGAACTTTGTATAAGCATTAATGGATAACCCTGAGTAGATGGACTGAATGAAAAGGTACCATGCCATGTACTTGCCATGTGCCAGGTAGTATGCTAAGAACC